TGGAAGTATTGTGTTAAATGCAGAGCTAAAATCTACAAAAAACATCCTCACATAGTTTCCCCCCCCCCCGTTGTTCCAAATAAGTCAGAGCAGTGTGAAGAGATTTACCTCATTTACCTCATGAGGTAATTTTAACAGAGCTGTAAAAATTAAATCTATAACTGTTAGAAATCCTAATACAGTGTTGGTGAACCTTTTCAGTACCATGCATTCATGCCAGAAACCGGAAGAGTAGTTGCCCGGAGCACATACGCGCATGAGTGCACCGGGCAGCTGCTCTTTGGGTTTCCAGTGTGCACATGCCCACTAGCCATCTGGTCTTCCAGTTTCTGGTATGCATGCACGCGCGAAGACCAGCTGGTCTTTGCGCATGCGAACCCAGAAACCCGAAGAGCAGACACCCGGCACACGCATGCATTCTGGGCGGCTGCTCTTCCAGTTTCCAGCACGTGCATGCACGCACGCGCTCCCATTTCAGCACTTGGTGTTGAAAAGGTTCACCAACATTATTAGGATTTCTAACAGTTATAGATTCAATTTTTACAGCTCTATTAAAATTATAATCTCATGAGGTAAATGAGGTAAATCTCTTCACACTGCTCTGACTCATTTGGAACAGTGGGGGTGGGGGGAGCTATGTGAGGATGCTTTTTGTAGATTTTAGCTCTGCATTTAACATAATACTTCCACATAGACTAGTGTCTAAACTTATGGATCTTGGACTTTCTTATTCAATCTACCATTGGATTAATGATTTCCTGTCTGGCCACTCTCAGAGGGTCAGATTAGGTAATCATATCTCTTCAGCTCTTATTCTTAACACTGGTACACCACAGGGTTACGTGTTGAGTCCCTTACTCTATGCTCTTTATGTGCATGACTGCATTCCCACTCACGCTAGTAATACTATTACTAAATATGCAGACAATACAACTGTGGTGAGACTCATCTCTGGAGGATGAGTCTGCCTATCGAGATGAGGTGGACCGGTTGCTTTCGTGTTGTGGACACAATAACTTGGTCCTTAACACCAGTAAGACCAAGGAGCTTATAGTGGACCATAGAAGGAATAGATCAAACATCCAGCCCTTCTTATCAATAGAGACCAAGTGGAGCAAGTGGCCAGTTTTAAGTTTCTAGCTGTTATCATAAAAGAGGACCTGGCCTGGGGCACTCACATTGCAGTACTGGTCAAAAGGGCCCAGCAGAGATTATACTACCTGAGACTTCTCAGGAAACAACAACTGAATGAAAAACTGCTGGTGACCTTCTACTACTGCACCATAGAGAGTATTTTAACTTACTGTACCTGTGTATAGTTTGCCAATTGCACAGTGACAGATAGGACAGCACTCCAGAGGGTTAACATCATTGCCCAGAGGATCATCGGTTGCCCTCTTCCATCTTTGGAAGAGCTTTATAGCTCCCGCTGCCTTAAGAATGTTCAAAATATTCTTAAAGATCCATCTCATCCTTGGCACCCTTTTCTTGAACTATTACCATCTGGCAGATGGTACAGGGTAATAAAAACAAGGACAATTAGGCTGAAAAACAGCTTCTATCCCAGGGCAGTAACTATATTGAATCCTACTGTATAGTGTAATATTAATGCAATATAGGGTTTTCAATTCAATTGTATGTAATTTCAATTGAAATTACTGGTGCATAATACGGTGTACAGTAAAAAGGCATAGAAACAGCATGTTTCTCCCTCTTATTTCTTTGTTATGAAATATTCTACGTAAACTTAAACATTTTGTTTAAAGAAGTTGTTTTAGCTGTGGGCTAGAATTAGGTCCTTAATTAACATTTAGACTAAAGCAAGTATAAATGTAAATGTACTGAAGTATTTCTAAATGATGGACTTGCTTTGTCATATGAACTTGGAGATATCTGAAAGTCCCAGAAATTATCACTTAATGGCTTCCACATAGTTACTTGACTAAATACAAATCATACATTGAGACTGAAATTTTATGTTATGATTTTTTAAAATTAGAATTTCGCCGAGCCAATAGTCACATAGAACCTGTGTTCTGTTACTGTGTGGGATGTAACTAGAAGAGTATTAAATAATCAAAACATGACTAAATGCTTTATTAGAAGTTTTCTAAATACAAAAAAACAAACAAACGTGAAAGGTACTTTAGTCTAAGCTAATTATAGAAATATAATGTGGACATACTGTAAATGTATTTATTTAATCAATGATACCAGCATACTTTTCAAATAAACAAGGGCACAAAACAAAGATGACTACTCTTAACATATTTTTTACAATCCTATATGAAGGTTAGCACAACATTTTGGGAAAAATAAGAATTTGGTCTTAATGTAAACAAGAAAAATACTCTTATTCTATTTTTAAAAATGGTATGTTTAGTTTTTTTAACTTCCGAATGTAGTCCAATTGTGTATTGATTGAAACAAAATAAATTTTATTTACTAATAGACCAAGAAGTTGATGTTGATGTCTCTTCTGTTATTTTAAATAACATTGATAAAGAAACATAGTAGCAACTTCAGAAAGTTACTAGGTTTCATATTAGTCTAGGTGGATTTAAGTATTTAGAAATAAGAATGACAAAGGTTGGCATCAATTTAAAAATGTGATTATGATTCTCTTCTATGTACGATTAAAATGGAATAAGTCATGGCAGCATTATCATTGTTTGGTAGGAAAACGCACTTAAAAAGTTTCATAAAATTATGTTTTTGTTTCAAACACTTTCAGTTCTATGATGTATTGCTTAATTTGGTATAAGGGAATAATTTTTAAAATTCATTTTTAGAATTCATTTTTATATAACTTGCATAAAAAATTAATGGGCAAAATACATAATATATGAAAAAGCATTATGGGACTAAACATGCCAAAATGTTGATACTAATCAATTAAGATGATCCATGTAATTAGGAAGTAAAATAGTTTTATAGAATTAGTTCAGATAGAGGTTCAGTTAGCATTTGATCCCCCTATTGGTTAATGTGGTACTATTCCTTCTGACTGTATATGGTATATTCTATCATTTCAAATCCCTAATAAGTTTTTAAAAGGTGGAGAAACAAATATAGAGAAACAAATTTTGGCTCCTAATATTTCCTGCCATTTCTCTCATTTTCTTTTTAACATGAGAATAAATATATTTAAGATAAGAAAGAGAAGATAAATTTTATAGAGTAGTTTTACAAAAGTGATCCTAAATATGAACTTGCTTTCAGATAGCTCAAGGTTTCCTTCATGAAAGTCTCAACTATCTGAAATTGATGTTCATGTATTTCAGGCAACATCTAAGGAATAATATCAATGATATTTAACACTCTTTAAGTAAGCATTGAATACTTCATTAGTGTTGATGGGGAAGGCAAACAGTAAAAAGTACACCATGATGAAAGCTTTGTCTCTTACATATTATGCTTGAATGGGATTTTGTAATACAAATATGAACCTGTGGAACTAGCCTTGGCATTTCACCATTTCATCACCATGATTAGGAATGGATGTCTAAGCAACAGCTTCTCTTGAAGCTGAAGCTGTTTCATTCTGTAAAGATGATTTAGAATTTGAACTTGATAAATCTTGATAAAATAAAGTGTTGGATATGGAAATTGATATTTAATCAGAGAAAACTGCTCAGGAAATAATGATTGCTCTCATTCCTTCAATGTCTTCAAAGATGCATTTTGATGCCTTCAAAGATGCATTTTCAAGAGGCAACTGGACTTTCTGGTTTTTCTTTGAAGACATTTTCGCTTTTCATCCAAGAAGAAGAAGAAGAAGCTTCTCTGAAGAAGCTTCTTGGATGGGAAGTGAAACACCTTCAAAGAAAAAAACAGAAAGTCCAGTTGCCTCTTGAAAAAGCACCTTGAACCATGACCTGGATGACTGAGAATCTCCATAGACAGATTACTCTGCATGATATTTTGCTCTTATAGAGTTAATGGATTTCAAATGCAAGGCAGCTAGAGTTTCTAGTGTAGATGGCATAGAAATCCATGTTTATTTCAGTTAATCAGTCAGTCTCGTTGGATTGGATTATGGCATTCAGAAAAGTATTTATTTCAGCAAGTCATTGGAAAACTGACCATGAAAATAAAGTATATTCTAGCTTATGAAATTGATTGATATCTTGTTTTTAGCTACTATATTAGTTATAAATGATTGGAATATTAAAATGCATATTTCATTGGATCAGTGGTATTGCAGAATAATGTGTAATTGAAAATTTAGCTTTGAAAAATGTTCTGAAGAAATATAATACTTCAGTTATATTAGCTATGTCCTTCCTAAATTACTTTCAGGTATACAAGGTTACCTTTGGACAGAAATACTAAATACAGACATTTGAAATGTAATTGTCTTTAAGAACATATCATTCATGTAGATGCACATGCCCATTTGAGTTTTTTTAGTTAGGTTTTTTTTTAATTGGATTATTTATTTATAATTTGAATTGGAAAGATGTTTTAGACTTTAAAAATACTAAATCTGACTATTTGAGTGTATATATTTTGCTTTATTTTGGATGCTTGGGTTATACCTGAATATAGATGCATTTTACCATGAATCAGTTCCTTAATTGAACATTTAAACCAATTGTATTGATTTTACAATATAGTGAAGATAAGTGGCAAAATGTATGGATGTAGAAACTTTGGCACCTAAGGAATAAAAATAAAATCTCAGGGTGTGACTGCTAAGCTTTCAAATTTTCAAATAGCAATAGCACCTAGACTTATACACCACTTCATAGTGCTTTTACAGCCTTCTCTAAGCGGTTTACAGAGTCAGCATATTGCCCCAACAATCTGGGTTTTCATTTTACCCACCTCGGAAGGCTGGGTCAACCTTGAGCCTGATGAGATTTGAACTGCTGAACTGCAGCTAGCAGTCAGCTGAAGTAGAGTGCAGTACTGCACTCTAACCACTGCGCCACTATAATGTACTTTAATTATATAAACTATGTATCAACTAACAGTGCTTTCTTTTTATTTTTCAGGCTCACTGGAGAGCCTCCCTTAATAAATGGTTGGATTCCTTTCTTGGGAGAGGCCCTGAACTTTAGAAAAAACGCTATTGGTTTTTTATTAACTTTGAATAAAAAACATGGAGATATTTTTACCGTACACATGGCTGGTGAGCAACGTTTCTGTTTTATTAACTTCTTAGAGTTATTTTAGTAGGTTAAATAATAGTACAAAGGAATATAGATTGTATGTATGCCTGTATATATGTATCCTTCAATCCATCCATCCATTCATCCATCATTCAGTTTAAACACTGTCTATTCTAGATGACTCTGGGCAGTTTGTATTTATAAGTAAGAATAATTAAAGTAATATAGATACTTTATTTCATCCTCAATCTCTCACATTTAGGTTTAACAAATACAATTCTACAGTAACATTGTGAGAAATATATAAAAATAAGGTGACCAATCATCCTCCTTTAGGGAGGACTTCTTTTGTAAGTTCTGCCCTTTCTCAAAAAGTATCCTCCTACATGTCCTCTTTTTCGATATTTGAAGACTAATCTGTAAATCTCAGTATTCGATTGATGCCGATCCAATCCATTGCATGTGATGTGACATATTTGTATTTGACATGATGGTTCATCAAGGCTCGGTACAGTGCGGCAACACACAATTATGAGACGCATGCGCTCCGCACAGGAGAATTGTTTTGAGAGAGTGTGCCGTGCGCAAGTGGTTTTGTTTATTTCTTACCGAAACACGACATGGCACACACGCATATGTTCTCCTTCTCATTGTAAAAAAGTTGGTCACCTTAATAAAAAAAACCCCAACATTTTCCATACCATGACTGATTTTTAATATTTTTACTATGTCTTCCCATCCCTTTCCTCTAAACTGAAATGTTCAAACACTATCACTTTTTGTAGAGGATTAAGATTGTAGGCAACCATAATATTTGTGTAATAAAATCTCAAGTTTTTGTTCCAAATATCTTGGAAATCTAATACAAGAATTCCAAACTAGCTGGGGATTTGGGAACTTATACTCCTAACATATCTGAAAGGCAATCAGGTACAGTATACTGCCAGGTCTTAACTGACATGATTAATGTGATTGTTTCAACCAAACCAATAAGAATATTGTGTTGGTGTATTTTTGTAATTGCATTTTCTTCCTTTTATGTTTTACTTATAATTTTTATTGCTTTAACATTTTTAAACTGTTAATTTTTCCCCTTTGGAATATTACTTTATTGACTTAGTTTATGATGTTGGCCAGATTGGAGAATTTGGTAGATGGCAAAGCTTGTCACCTTTGGAATAGTCAGAGGAGGCTTCAGAGATTCTGAGGGAGGTCATTCCTGTGCAGCTGCCTGCAATTCAAGCCCTCTAAACTCAACCCTCTCTTAACACCTCCCTCCAGCCTAGTTGGGTATTTTCCCACAACATAATACCTAATTATTTCAAATAATATATAAGTTTGTACAAGATAAAAAAAAGAATTCAAATTTTTAATAATTGTTAATATCTGAGCCAGAATGGACATCCTATGATGCATAGCACAGATACACCTCATCTGTAGTCGCCAGAGTGGATAATGCAGAAATGTCTGATGTTCTGTGAATTGGTATTCACCAATTGGGGTGGGGAAGTATGGGGAAGTAAGGGTGAACAATTCTGATGACTACCAAAAATTGTCTGGCCTGTTTTTCCAAGTTGTTGGGTCTTTTTGTTTGGCTTCTCCTTCAAAATCTATCACAAAGTCCCATCAACAGCCTGCATCAACATCAAACAGAGCAGCAAGATATAGTGCGAGAGAAGGCCAAAAAAAGATCACACATCTCTACTTCAACATATTGTATTCTGACTTATGAAAGAGCAAAAAAAAAAAAAGACATTATAGTTTATGGTTTTTGTTCATTTACATTTCCCATATTTCTTATTAATTATTGGAAGGTCATGGAGATACCGTTAAGAATTGCAGGCCCTCATTACTTCAGGTACCAATATTTCAGGGAGTCTCTCAGAACTGGCAAAATAGAGGGACTATCTAGAGCATTTCTGCACTAGCTTTACCTTTTCCTTTTGATGTGCCACTAAAAGTCTTGTCAAAAATAGTGCCAATATATAATGTTCTCATTAATTCTCAGATTACTTCATTTGGAAAACACAGGCTGATGCTCTGAGTTTCTGGCATTGCCTCAGACTGGTGACGTGATTTCACTGATTGTATTTTCCTGTATGATAAGCAAATGATTGTCATTCCGAAAAGCAATAATGGACATGGATGTCACCTTAATAAAGAAATTATTCTCCACAAGAAACAATGGAAATTCCTGACCTGTCGTGGAAAATAGTTCTCTAATTGGTTTTGTGTGGTGGTGCAGCAGAATCATTTTCCCTAAACGTCATTCCAGTGAGTCACTGCTGTACATCATTGTCAACTTTTCAGCAAAATCTTCCTAATAAGAAAGACCAGTGTTACATAAATGGAATCAGCAATCCCTCCCTTTTATGCCCCACAAAACCTGTTTCTACATCTTCTCTCTCTTCTCTCTCTCTCTCTCTCTCTCTCTCTCTCTCTCTCTCTCTACACACACACACACACTTATTAATTGCAATTGTTTCTCCCACAGCCCCCTCCACCCCTTGAAGAATTTGAAGTGAATCTGAGCTAACAGGAAGCTATTGTAGGAAATGTAAAATAGAAAATAATTGTTGGTGTAGAAAATAATTGTTATATGGGGATCTGTATATATCTGTACAGATATATTTTTTTTTAAAAAAATAGTATCTACTCTGACCTCACAAGGCCTTTGAAGTGGCTGGTTTCAATCTCTTAACAAAGAGATTGTTTAACAAAACAATTTTTCAGAACATCTGATCTTTCATATCTACCCAGCTAAAATATACTGTCACAGCTATTGTAAAATGTATATTCTGTTCTAAGCAAAGAAATATGCAATGGAGATATACTTCATCAGCCAATAAAGAAGTAACATTTGAATGAAAGGCACTTTTTTCAGTCCCAGAGAATTTATTCCATTAAATTTGATATTGGGCCAACTTGATTATAAATAAGTCTGTTAAATGACAACTTGTAATGTATTTCACTATCATACAGATAACAGCATTTTGGGATTTTATATCCCATGCTTTCACAGTATATTTCAATATTTTATATGAAGTATCACTGTAGCAATGTATTTAGTATAGTTTGTTTTATTGAATAAACTGCTTTAAACTATACATTTCTTGAACAATCGGAGATCATCAGACTCTCCTATTTTTCACATTTTCTTCATGATTTTTATATTATTCATGTTTTTTACAAAGATTCATTGTGAAGCGAATAGACATCCAAAGCATTCACATGTAAACAAAAATTAGAATGTTCATAGTATATGTGCAATATTGTTAAATTAACAAAATTCTCTGTTCTGTGTTTCCCAAACAAACCCAAGTAGATAAGTTACATAAATTTGGTCAGGAATATATACAAGAATAAGGCAGGGCTGTCAAACTCCTGGCCCAGGGGCAGATGCGTCACACGCTGGCCACACCCACGCCTGGTTTAGCGAAGGGGAAAAATTCCTGATATGTCACGTGATGCCACCATAACAATGTGAATTTGACAGCCCTGCTTTAAGGTGTGATAAGGTGACATGTTTTTAGTGAGCAGACTTGAAGTATGTTGGATATTCTTGGGAACAGTACCACAAACATGTTAAATATTACATAACAGTTTCAGTAACAGATGCCCATATTTCATATATACATGCACCTATATTATGATGTATACTTTAATAATACAGGCTTTCCACAATGTACAACCATTTGTTTAGAACCATTCAAAGTTACAACAACATTAAAAAAGGTGTCTTAAAATCAGTCCTCACACTTACGTTGCAGTTTTCTTATGGTCACATAATTGCAATTTGGGCTCTTGTCAACTGGCATATATTTACAATGATTCAGCGCCCCCAAGGACATGTGATCACCATGTCAATTGGCTTTCAACAAGAAAGGTCAATGGGAAAAGCCAGTTTTGTTTAATGACCTTGTGATTCATTTCAACTGTTGCAAAAAAGATTGTAAAATCACCCAATCACATGATTACTTACTTAACGACTGCATCACTTAGTGACAGAAATTCCAGTCCCAGTTTTGATCACAAGTCAAGGACTACTTGTATTGCTCATTGAAGTTAGCAATAGACTATGGGAAGTTTCTTGCTGAATATTAACATACAAAAAACCCTGTGTTCTGTTTTCATTGGGGGTTGTACCCTTGATCAGATGAGACAAGGATAGAGGATTTCTAGTTAGAGCCAAAACTAATAAATGCCAAATGAATAGTACATGAAAAAATGTTTTAACCAGCTGATGCCCAGCCTTAAACGGGAAGGCCACAATCCTGACAATATACAGGAACAAAAGTCTGTGCTATTGTTTAAATGCGCAATTCTTGAGCTGCATCCCTTTGTCCTGAATTTTCAGATGTTGAGATGTAGTAAAGGGGATGATAGACAGCAAATACAACAAGTGTGTGGTTGTAACTCTGATTAAAACTTTTATTGAACAACACTCTACTTTATAATCAAGAGACTCTGTATATCTACTGTGATCCCAGGAAGTAACTACCGAGTAAGAATATATACATAAGATATCTGGACTTGTGCAGAAAAAAATCACAGAGTTTACAAAGTCTTGTAGGATTAATCCTACATACTTTAGCTCAGTCACACATCAACCTATAAAGTCTTCATTTAGCAGTAGTTACTTATATTGAACTTTCTTTCTTCTTCTTCTTCTTCTTCTTCTTCTTCTTCTTCTTCTTCTTCTTCTTCTTCTTCTTCTTCTCCTTCCTTCTCCTTCTCCTTCTCCTTCTCCTTCTCCTTCTCCTTCTCCTTCTCCTCCTCCTCCTCCTCCTCCTCCTCCTCCTCCTCCTCCTCCTCCTCCTCCTCCTCTTCCTCTTTTATCACTTCAGATGTTGAGGGAATATATTGAATACATTATATTATAATGATATCATTGAGTTGAGGGAGTTGAAGCACCGGAAAAGACGCCTAGAGAGTAGTTGGAGGGCCAGTCTTTCTGAATCGGACCAGACACTAGTAAGATCCCATATTAGGAATTACCTAGTGGCGATAAAAGCAGCAA